AGGCAAGAAATAATTTAGAGACTCGACATCCTCTCATGTCGATTCGATTGTTTGGATCAGATGAATTGATCAATCTACGCACCTACACACCTGCAAAACCAAAAACCACAATATATATCGATGAGACAAAATTAGAAACTCGATCTATCCATCTCTTCTAAACGTTTAAACTTTTAATGGAGGAGATTCAAACCTCCTCGTTCGAAAAACTTAAACTTCAAGATGATCGGTTCATCGAAAAGCTTATAAGATCAAGAAGTGAAAAAGCTAGTAATACTCAACTTGAGCATGCTTAGAGAGTGCAAGTGTAGCCAGGAGGTGGTGTCTTTCCACAGGTGACAAGAAGCTGAAGTGCAAGTGGAACAAAAATGTTAAGATTCAAAACTTTAAGCTTAAGTGTTGTGCATAAACAAACTGCAGCCTCAAGTTCCACAAGCCCTTGAAGCAATGGGCAGCACTGATTAGCCACAGGGTCCCCAAGCCCAATGTGCACCAGCCCACCAAGTAAATCCACACAAGCACCAAGTTTTAATGTGTTAATCGGGCATGTAGCGGGTGGCGCCGCCGCAGGCGGTGGTGGTGGGCAGGGTGTTCCCTTTCCTCTGGGTGGGTTGAGCACTGGTGGCACTGTTACTGGAGGGGTCACAATTGGTGGCAGGGTTACTGGAGGTTTAACTATTGGTGGCAGGATTACTGGAGGTTTAACTATTGGTGGCAGGGTTACTGGTGGTTTGTTTATTGGCGGCAGGATCACTGGTGGTTTGACTTTCGGCGGCAGGGTTCCTGGTGGTCTGACTTTGGGTGGGTTTTTGGGTTTCTTGTGTTTTGGTGGGGGTTTGGAACAGTATCCACAGCCAAGAATGGGAGTGGCTGAGGAAATAAAGAGCATGGAAATAAAAAGAAAAGCTGTTATTTTAGAGGACTCCATGATTTGATCCTCTGAAGAAAAAAGGGAGAAAGTTGATGGTGGAGGAGTTGCCGAGGACGGTGGCGTTATATAGAATGAGGATGGGGAGTATTGGGTGGTGCAAGAAAACAAAAAACCAAAAAAAGAAAGAAAAGAAAACCCCAGGGAAACCGAAGCACGTGAACTCAAAAGGAGCTGCCAAAATTTGCTAGTTGTCAACTTCGTACCATGCCATGCCAATGCATGCATCTTTACAATTACTATATTATAAATTAGGGAAAATTGCAGTCGCGGAACCAAATTTTTCACTTTTTTACAGATTTTGCCCAATTCTTTGATTTGTACCATCGTAGGTACCAAACCTTCAAAAAATCACAGTTCAAGTCCAGATTGACGATTTCCGTCAGTTTGACCCAAAAAACCGTCAGTTGACCTCAAAAATTAATAATCTGTTTTCCGTTTTGACTTAAAAGAGCACTATGGAGGACTTCGAATGGACAAGAATGACTTCTTATTAACGAGAACCACATTTTTAATGCACGATTATTAGATATCAGTCCTCCAACGTTATTTGTTATAAAGTTATGCTGCACATACAGGTTCCCCTAACACGTATAGGGCTGACGTGGCCCTGAACCAACATTTTTGCTTGTAATATGGTCATAGTGTGTTGCACGTGACGTGCTGACAATTGTGGAGCGAAAACTCGAATCCAGTGAAAATCTAGTGTAACTATGGAAAAGAATTTCAAAGACAAAATATAATAAAATTATTTTTAAAAAATCATATAAATTTTACTTAACCTGGGATCAGCTCGACTCGTTGATATCATTATTCTTAACCTCCAAAGAAGATTCAAATCCAAAACAATGACCCAGCAAGTCTTCTCTCTTGCGGCCACTTTGGGATCTGAGAGTCCTGTGTGGAAGGGCTCTCGCTCGACGGATCAAAGGTACTCGGGATTATTAGGTTGATGACTCTATGTTGGAGGAGCACAATAGGTGGCCATTGGCATACCGGAAAATATTTATTTGGTAGTATTGTGTCATAATTGCATTCTGCGGCACAAGTCCAAATTTATTATTGAATTAAGAGAAAATTGTAGCTGCGGTATCAAACATTTTAGTTTTTTGCAAACTTTACCCAAACATTTGATTTGTACCACCATAGGTACCAAACCTTCAAAAAAATTGCAGCTTAAATCCAGATTGACGGCTTCTGTCAGTTTGACCCAAAAAACCGTCAGTTTACCTCAAAAATTAAAATTTTAATAATTTTGATCAAATAAGACGGGGTAAAATGGTAACTTTATAATTTTAATATAAAAAATAAACAAAATAAACAAAATAAAATCCATCTCCTTCAATCTTCCCCAATCCCCTAACCCAAAAATCAAATACACTCCCAACAAGTTGTCGGCCGACCACCGTCTCATCGCCAGCACCAACTGACCATGTATCCTTCCGCTAACTAAGGTAAAATAGGGTTTTTACTACATGAACAATGACGTCGAGAGGCAATTGATCATGAAATGGAGCTGAATTTGTATAGGAGTGTGTCGGCTCCTCCTATTGTGAGGGTTCACTGAGCGTCGTTGGTGGGTTGTTTAACCATGGTGGTGTTGTTGGTGGCAGCATTGACAATAGCTCTGCATTTGCTGAGTATGCAATAAATAAGAGTAGTAATGATTTCATGTCGATGAGGAGCTTAGGTCTGATCCTGCAGATTTATCTTACTATTACTCGAATGTCAATCTTAACCCAAGGCTACCATCTCCTCTGTTGTCCAAGGAGGATTGGCGGTTTGCAGAGAGGTTACAAGGAGGGAATTCGACGATTGGAGATAGAAGGAAGTTGAATAGGATTAATACTGATGGTGCTGAGGGATCCCCATTTTCAATGCCTACAGGATTCAATTCTAAGAACCAAGAGAGCGAGAATGAGACGGAATGGGATGTTGATGGATTAATTGTTTTGCCTGGATTAGGGCTGGGTAGCAAACAGAAGAGTCTTGCAGAAATATTTCAGGTGAATAACTTGCATAAATTTTCTGCCTTCTCATAGATTTTCTGTAATCGTTTACTTGGAGATGTCCTAATTCTTTGAGATTGTAAAATGTTACTCATACTGTTGATTATCTGAATTTCACACGTGATTTTGTGCTCGCCATTTGACATTAATCTTATTTTTTATATTAAAATTATAAAGTTACCATTTTACCCATATCTTATTTGGTCAAAATTATTAAAATTATAATTTTTGAGGTCAACTGATGGTTTTTTGGGTCAAGCTGACGGAAACCGTCAATCTGGACTTGGGCTGCAATTTTTTTGAAGGTTTGGTACCTATTGTGGTACAAATCAAAGGTTTGAGCAAAATCTGCAAGAAAGTGAAAGGTTTGGTACCGCAGCTGCAATTTTCCCTATAAATTATCATGATTTTCACTTTGAAAAAAGCTAAAATACCAGGGCCAAACGTGCCCTGAGTGGGCTACATAATTAACAAATAATTATTAAATTTCACGACTTAATATTCATTCCAGTAAAATTGAAGTAAATATTACTAGATTAAATTGAAGCAGTCATTTGATTGAGATATGTTTGAATCTAATTGAAAAAGTATTTTTTTTCTATTTAAATAAGTATAAATAATGGTTTTTGTTTAACAACATTTTAATGCATATTATTATTATTTAATTTAAGTGGTCATTAAGCGTGATTAGGTACAAGAATAAAGCACGTTTTTCAATTTTCATCAACTTTTGAGTAAACAGTTGAACTCTTTGCCAATATGACATTAATACCATCTGATTTTATGTTATTCAATTAAAAATCAATATAAAAGTGCCCCAGTTATAATCCTCAAATCATTATTAAAAAAAAAAAAAGGAAGAAGAAGAAGAAACAAACTTAAAACTGCTTAATTTTACATAATTAAATTATGCGTAGAACTAGACCAGATCGTGTGTGTGTGTGTGAACACGGAAAATTAAAAGGCAAAGAGCATCTTTAATAGCCTCTCCAATATTGTTCAAGGAACCCCAATTGTTGTCGGAGTAAAGGATCGTCAACAAAGGCGTTCTAGTGCGTGGTAAATTCTTATCCAATACTTGTATCATGCCATGATTACACCAAATGAACAATGTTTCCTTTTTCTTTTTCTTTTTTTAATTTCTCGGAAATCAATTTATTTTAAGTTATTTAAACTAAAAATTATATTTAATGAACTAAAATATTGTATTTATTAAAAAATAAAAATAAAAACAAAAAATAGAATATCATAATAAAAAAACATTATATTGAATGCACATAAAAAGTTACATATAATAGAAATGACAACTAGTTTTATCACTTATTTACTGGAATTAGTATATTCATCTTACAAATCATCAATCAATGCATTTCGAAGTGCAAAGTGCGCATATTTATCCTTAATTTGTCTATGTTGAGTAAAAAATTCTTGAAATCGAGTGTATTAATTTATTGCATTAATACGTATTACTTGATTAGAATTTAAAAATAAATGTTAAAAATAAAATTAACTACCACATCAAAACAATTATGAATAAATTCAAATCAATTAATTATAAAAGGACTAAAAAAAGGATGTAGAAGGAAAAATAATGTGTTGTAATAGAAAATGAAGGGCATAATGAGAATAATGAATTACATCAAAATTTACACATTGTTTGGTTATATGCACACCACAATTTTTATTTCTTACGCTACATTTTAATTTCTCTTAAGGTTCTTAATTTTTGTTCATTATAATACTTATGTCCCTAACAATTTTTCATATTATTTTTATCATCAAACATTTCATTAGTTAACATATTTTGTATTTGATAACAATTTTATATTCAAAAGTCCTTTAAAATGGCGTAAAATAAATTTTCCCCATCATATTTTAAAAAAATAAATAAATAAAAAGTGTGAATAAATATTTTCCCTCATTTCAAAACATGAAAATAAAATATTTGTATATAAATCATCATCAAGGATGAGATGTACTAATTAATGGAATGTTGAATATAATAAATCAACGGAAAATAGTTAAGGAAATAATTGTTACAATGAACAAAGATTAAGGAGCTCAACCGCAATTAAAAATGTGGTTTATCAATTAAAAATTGTGGTGGAAATAATAATTGCCCTTTTAAAAATACATTTCTCTCTCTCTCTCTCTCTCTCACACACACACACACACATTTTCAATTACACATTTTCAATAAAATAATATTATACACAAATTCAAGACTTTTTCTCATTTCTTAATCACACATTTTCCATCAAATCACTATTTCAAAATGCATTTTATCAAAATAATGGGACTTAACCCCTATTTGTCTACCATTATTCCAAAAAATTGTTTGCTACAGTAAAATTTTTCACTACACATTCACCCAATAAAATATTTTACACACAAACCAATAAAATTACTTTAAATTTCAACCACACATTCTCCAAAAAATATTATTCATTACTTTATTTTTCTTCCAATAATGGGAGACAAGCACACCCTTAAATAGGCTACAAATTTGGTGTACAATGCCCCAAGGAGTCAAATTTTAAGAAAAAAGTTGTTGAAATTAGAAGCGCAAAAGGGCTGAGAAGTTGAGGACTATGCCTACAATTCTAATAAAAAATATATTATCCCATTTATCACATGACAATCTTTGAATCTTTCGAGACAACTTTTACTAGAGTAATATAACAGGACATATTCTCTTAGGCAGCTAATCTAGGGTGGTGGGGTGGAGGTTGTCCAAAAATTATAGAAGTATGATTGTGAGGAGAGGATTGTCAAATTCCTTTAGGCCCTCTTTGATGGGCATTAAATTCTATGAAAGTAGGAATTTCTTTTTCATTTTCCACCTTATGTCGTGTTAGATGAGCAAAAAGTTGATGGAAAACTCTTTTCTTTCTAAGGGCTCACGCGCCTAATTTTGTGGGAATTGATTTTCCAACTGACTGCATTTTTTTTTTTGGCAATGAAAATAAATTTCCATCCGATCTTATCTTATTCAATTAAAAATCCAAGGGTGGTGGGGCGGGTGGGGTGGAGGTTGTCCAAAAATTATAGAAGTATGATTGTGAGGGTGGGGTGGGGTGGGCTAGGGTGGGGGTTGTCCAAAAATTATAGAAGTATGATTGTGAGGAGAGGATTNTTGGAATTTCTCAACATCTAGACTTCACTTAATCTAACAACTTTCACTAAAAATCTAAATTAACATTAAATGTTTGTTTGTTTTTTATTCTCAAATTCTATAGTAAATCAATTCTCATTTTCAATCACACATTTTTCAATAAAATAATATTTTTCATCACATCAATAATTTTTTCTTCTTTTTCAACCACACATTTTCCATCATATCGCTATTCAAAAATCAATTCTTCCCCCAAAAATCCCTACCAAACAAGTACTAAGTTTTCTGACTTTACAACTTTTTATTTTTAGCTGCTTGGATTTTATCTATTTATTCAGAAACATTTTGTAGCCACTATCCCGTGAATTAGACATTTCAATAGCCAATTTTGAGTAATAACACATTCACGTTGAATGCAAGATTGTATCAAGATTCAACTTAAGTCTCTCATACGACAAATGTCTTGAATTTGAATTCGAGAGAAGCGAAATCAATCCATAAGATGATTTTCAAAGCGGACAGTTCTTATAAATTAATAAATTAAGCAAAAGTTCAGATCTTTACAATAATTATATTAAACATTTCAATAATGAATTTTACTAACTAATGCCATCATGTAAGACTGAATGAGGAAAAAATGAATGAAATGTTCTTCATGATTTGGGATTACATTGGAAAAGGACATTAGTACAACTTTCATAATTTTTAGGACACAAACAACGCGTTCTTGCATGTACTTCAAAATTCAAATTATATACTTTTAGAGATGTTTATTTCACGTTAGAGAAAAGAGAAGCATATAATTTTTATACTCTCTAATATCAAATGGTAAATATAGTTGTCTTTGATCTTAGGTATATATGCAAAAACAAATATGTATGCAAGTCTCGCATCCAATCATGTAAATATAGCACGTCTGTATTATTTTAAAATTTTAATTACGTCCTTCTATTTATTAAGAAGAAAAAGAGCAATGTTAGAGGTATATAATTTATGTACATAATGGTGTACATAACTCTCACATGGGATGACATGTACATAAATTATGTACAACAAGAATAATCTGAAGAAAAATGGACTGATATGTCAAAACCGGCGACAAGTGCGAAACAACACGCCTCAATTCGGACACACTAGAAGTAAAGAGTATAGCAATTGGCGGGTCTTAGGTTAGCAATGAGTAGGGATACCAATGTGTGGAGTCGAGTCGAGTCAGATTAGCTCAACCGTTTGGCTCATGGACCTCGCAAGAAAAGCTGTCCATCAAATTTTTTCAAACAAATTAATAAAAAACCCAAGAATGAGCAATTTTCTAAAAGATTAATAAAATAAATTAAAAATGAGAGGAAAAAAGGATAGGTCCACCAACGAACCAGCTTGACTCATAAAAAAAGGGAATTCATCGACCCATAGCTCGTCTCATAATGAGTTTCCGAATACTAGGTTGGTGGGGGTGGTTACAAGATCAGGTATGCCGTGGGTCCGTGATCAGCAATGCACGTTCCTGTCATTGTATTTTTTTTAATCTTGTGAATCCGTGAGTTCACCATTCACACTTGGGATTCACAATCTCGTGTCAGTTTTCCGAGTGCAGGAGATTTCCCAAAATTGCACCTCCATAGCTCAGCCAATATTTTGAGATTTCACCAATTGGCCTTCCTCAAAATCATGTTTTCTGAGATAAATTCCTTTGTTTACTATGTCTGCAACCAGGGGTTATGTGTCTATCTCAAGGTTCAAGGGATCTGATATGTGATAAACTCTATTAAAAATTTTAAAACCCCAATATAGTTTCGCTTCTAAAATACAAAACCTGTATAATTTTCATTAATAGACGATAAAATTTATTAAATCCGACATTCCACGTCGGTTTAAAGGCCACACTTGAACATGACCCATCTGTCATGTCACCCGCCACATGTATGCCTGGGAGGTATGAGTTCAATGGTGTCCACTTGAGCATCTATAAATACTTATTCAGAACCAAAAATGTTCAAATGAGCAATCACTATGTCCAAGAATGTTTGTAAAGACACCTGTGATGTCTAGGGAAAACATTGATTTCACATCTATATTGCGCTGCTGTGTTTCCTTTTTTTTCCTCCTTGTAGTATTACTTTACTACTGTGTATTTTTGTGAAAAATTGCGTTATCAACCATTTGAGTGCCCAATTTTATTTTTTTTTATATTTTATATTACAAAAAAAGAAAGAAAAAAAAATGAAAATGAAACTTACCGTAAATGGATCAGAGGAATAATGGAAGGGTTAAATTGACCAAAATCAAGATGAAATGTTGTAATTACTAAGGCCTCATTTGGGAGGACTTTTAAAAGAATAATACTATTTGCAGTCGCTCACTGCCTTAATCACCCTATATGGTATACACATAGCGGTTAGAATTTAATATATCGGTGTAGTAATTTTTTATTGCCTCGTGCATCAAATTACTAATCACCACATGTATGCCACGTAGGACGACTACGACAATGAGCGACTTCAGCTAATATTACTTCGTTTAAAAAGTCAAAAGTTACTTTTGATACTAAAAAGCTGTTTTTAAACATGTTTGGATAAATTTATGTACGAAATTAGCCTATAGTAACTTTTTCATAAAGGTTTTTTAGAAAAAAACAAAAGCATAATTCGTTCCAAAAGAACTGAGTTATTTTGAATCTTCCAATTCAAAATTTATTAGGAAAGAGATGATCATTCAAACGTCTTGTTACTCTTGTATAGTCCAGTATATACCATCCATATTTGCCATCATCAAGGAAATAATACCAGAGAGACAAAAAGAATGCCACAAAACATCAAGGAAGAAATTTCACAAGAGTAGAAAAGACAGGAGCGACTAAACATTTAAGAATCACTAGTGTAATTTTGTTCAACAATAGATGAATAATTGATCAATGACAAACTTTACACATCAGAGGGAAAAAAAAAAGAGTTACATAATCCCATCGACAAGAAATCGACCCTGCTCGAACATAGATGGGTAAAAGGAAAGTCGTTCAAACCTCGAAAGCTTTATTACCAACTGCCTGAAGTTATTTTTCAACAAGCAAAATAATTGTTTCTACTTAATCATAAAGACATCTAATTGAATCCCTACCTATAATTTGGACACATCATACGATACAAATCATCTATCTTCGAATATCCATCCAGAGTACTCAGTACTAACTACAGATTCATGATCATCCTTCTTGTATTTCCAACAAAAAATGTTATCGGAATTAATCAAATAAGGCCCGGATGAGGATTATAGGCTTGACCTGGCATACCTGAGGCATAGGGGTAGCTGCTGGCTCCGTACGGGGTTTCAAAAGGGTTTACGGGCTGCTGTGGCCCCATCATCATCATCATCTGCTGCTGCTGCTGCTGCTGCTGGAACATGAAAGCCTGTTGTTGGTTGGCCATGGCTGCCATTTGCACGGAAGGTGGTGAAGCCATTACGTTGGAGGCATAGAATGGGTCAGGTGCAGTTAGTGGCATCATGGGAGTGGCTGTTGGAGCTTGTACCCATGGATTGTAGCTAACATTCTGGTTGGTTCTTCGGATTGCATCATCATATAGGCTGTCTAGTGTAAGCATGTCCAGTCCACCGGCCTTTGTCAAAGTAAAAATTATCAATTAAAGTACTTCATCAACAATTCCTTCTATGCTAAAACAAAAAAACGTTGCATGCATTCGGGCAATGCTTGTGAGACATTTTCTATTCAGGGGTATATCGAGCTGTCCACGTGTGTTATGTTACCCTAATATTCCTATTTTATAAAGAAATTTAGAGAGGCTGTTTTTTACTAGAGAAGACAGTTATGTGAAAAAACTTGGTAGTCTATGGTGAAAAATTTGCAGCACCAAGTGTAATGTGTGCAACTTAAATTAGGTGAATCACTATCTATGTGTGTTTGAGACGTTTTGTCTATTATGGCTATCTAAGATAAGGATTAAGGTTTAATCTCAAAAAAAAGCATTCTTATATTTATTAAACATTTTTATTGGTGAAGCAACAGAAAAATTCCAAGGAAGATGGCGAGCAATACCAATTTGCTAGCAGCAGTACCACTCTCATTGGAGCTCGGAGCCGTAACAAGAGCTAGTTCCCAGCCTGTAGCTCCATTTGAAAGATTTGGTCCAATGGAAGCCGGTTGTTCAGCAACGCCTACAATGGCAACAGGTATATTATGAATACCCAGCTCGTCCTAAAGACTGAGTGATGTTCAATGACAGCATTTAACCTTTAATTTCCAGATCTTGTGTTTACATATGAAAAAGAATATATTAAATAGAATCAAGCAGAATAAAAAACTCTCATTTTATCCAACAGCTAAGAAAGACGAGTAATGTTTCAATCTTGTTCAAGTAAATTAGACTTACCAACTGGCACAATGGCTAAAGCCATTGCATTCTTCTCGTCTAACGTAGAGGCAGCTGGAACAGGATCGTCCAGACCCTTTATAATAGAGAAATGTGGTCGATGAAAAGCTCAAAAATTGTTCAAAGCAGAGAGTTACTAAAACAAAGAAAAGCTCAATATCATGAACCTGTCAATATTCTAATTAATTACCAGCAGATCAGGTGGTTCTGAAACAGGTGCTTCCACTTTAACTGGTTCTGGCTTAAGTTCTGGTTCAGCTGGAGATGGTGATGGTGGGCGGTCTTCCTTCACTTCTGAATTCTTTTTGTACTCTATGGGTAATACCACCTTTGACTTTACGTCAATGTTCTTGATTCAGTACATATCATAAAAGCATAAAAATAATGAGTGAGTAACACAAATGCTATCTCGAGAATTTTCGAGCTACATTCTCGTAATAAATATACGTGACTATAGATATATTGGTGAATGGTCGTCCTCCACTATTTCTGTAAATATAGATTTGAGGTTCGGGATTATGATGATGACAGATGTAATGGTCATTAAGATTTCACCAGAGCCTTCAAATTTTGCCAGCATTGTATTTAACTATTGTCTTTCTTTTCACTGTCCCGAAGCATCTTTTTGACGGGTGGATAAGGAGCCAATGGATTCAATCAATCGTACATGACTGGTTACATGGATGGGGACTTCAAATCCATCCCACAAACTAACTGTAGAATAAAAGAAGCAATTCCTCTCTCTCTAATGCAAACACCTCTGTGCGCGCGCACGCGCGCGTCCATGTGTGTATAGAGAGAGAGAGATTGCTATATTCATGACTCAAGAGCTCCATACCAGATCCTTGCGAACAGAGGAAGCTCGTGGTGCTTCTCTCACATACTCCTCCATAGCTTGTAGAAATGATGCAGGGGGCTTCATCATCAATCAGAAAACAAGGTAATGAGAAACTTTTCAATGTCTAAGTCAAACTAAATTAGACTATCTTCTGAAAGGTACCAAGAAACTCTAACCTGCTCAATCTTGATAAATTTTTCTCCGCGTCCAATGTCGAGATTTTTACATACTTCATAAAATTCCGACAATTTTTCGGCCTGGAAAAATTTTAGTAGTACAAAGATACACGTATGAGGAAAAATATCTCCCCACAGATACAGTAAATAGTTGAACTACTGAAAATAACGTCTGATGGGTGTACCTGCTGGCCAGCTCTCTGGTATATATCCAACGCCTTAAGAGCATCATGCCGTTGCATCTCAAAGAACTGTCAACAATGAAGCCCCGTAAATCAACCGTTCCTTGAGTAACGGCTAGTTTAGAGTTAATCTAAGACGTAACATACCTTGTCAACCAAATTAACTGTACCATCACTTATTGCATTATAAATTTTGATGCTTTCTGAAGCAACCTACACGAAATAACAATAGAGAATTGGATAAAACTCACAAGGCATTGTGAAAGAAAGTCTCTTATTTTAAAGGTAAATGTGAAAATTAAGACTTCACGTACCATAGAAAGGGCAAACTGAATAACAAAATTATGAACTGCTGCTCCTTGTGGCTGAAAAAATTTAAAATCATTATAGCTCAAATTATTAGGAATAGAGAGTGACAAATGAATATATTCCATGTTTAAGAAAAAAGTTATCGACACGAGCTTTAACATTACCAAGACAGAACTTTATGAATGATCCAGAATTAGCAATCACAACAGTGATAGAAATTACCTGACAGCCAAGAACCCGAAATAGAAGTTGCTGTAAAGCCAGTAATTGCTCAAGCAACTCTGGAGTTTTCAAATCTTTTGTTCTCTGCATCATTATTTGCTTTAGGAATTATCAAGAAGGAAAATAATTCAATATACTAATTTACCCAAAATGGGTTTCTTCTGAAAATAGCAAAACGAAAATTTTCTTGTAGGTCAATAGAACATGATGCCGGGAAGTCTAGATTGTAGTATAACTTTGATCTAACATTGATGAGGACCTTCAACTTCTTTAAAAAATAATATAAAAATTAGTGATAAACCAGGTTCTATGTGAAAAATATATCGACAGGCCAGAGATAAAGTTTTAGAAAAACAGAACCTAAGAAATACATGCATGGGTTAAAGGCAGTCATAACTATAACAGATTATTGAAAGGAAAGATGATGTTTCATATAGTAACTAGTTATTAACTGGCCCTATGCATTCAGAGGTGCACGGATTTGCAGATCACACTTTGAGTACCACCACCAAGAGAAAAGGCAACCAGAGCAGCAGTATAAATAAGCATGTAAGCTACAGTGTACAAGACCAACATGATAACGGAAAACTCATAGCTCAATCCAATGGGTAAACATAGAGTGAACTGTTGGACCGCATAAATAAACAGAGCTTGATATTAATAAATTTCTCACCGGAGGCTCTTTCTCCACATCATATTTCAACAACCGGAAACTTTCCAGCCTCTCCTCCAAAAATAATGCATAGGAACGCACCCATGCAGAATAATCCCAGGCTGGTCAAGAGATGCAATGCATTTCATTACAAAGATATTTGCTGCTGTCACATTGCAGGGCTTGTGAAAGAAAATAAAACCATACCATTTGGACTCGAGTCGTCCTTGAAATGGCCCAAGTTAAGCATATGCTTCCTGCTCCTACCATAATTGATAAGTTCTTCCTGGAATGTGGGATCAACCTCTCTCAATGCACGATGTATTACTATCAAAGTTTTTAAGGCAACCTAAAAGACAAGGAAGATTACTGAGGAAGATAATGAGTAGAAGTATCACGTATTATGACTAGAACACCACGCGAAGAGAAAAACACATAATTTTTGAAATAAATCAGAAGCATAACTATACAAGTTGCAGTAAAGAGGATACAAAGGTGTTCGAAGTTTCAACAAAGTAATATCATTTAGAAGCTCGATATAACCTCCCTCAAGAACAAAAGCAGACAATATATGCATATGCATACTAATAACTTCACATATGCACATAGATAACATGCATATAAATTCCTGAATCTGTAGCTTAAAAAATGAGTACGAGGAATAAGGTCAAGTTCAGATTAGAATACAATATTGATAAATGAGACTACTGCATATCTCCTTAACTAGTAAACAATGATATGCCAAGTTCTATTTAGATCTTGGAACTCAAGGAACAGAAAACACCATGAAAGAGGAAATAAAATCATAAAAACCGGAAGCCTCAGCTCATTTGCTCCAGGAACACAGACGAGATATTTTTAATTTGTATTTCACATTTCTAGACTTGAAACCACCATGAGATTCTGAATTAAGCCTTTAATTACACTCTTCACTTGTTTGCTCGCCAAAATCATGTATCTTAACCAATTGTAAAAGATCTACTAAATTGAGCAGCCAATACACTCCTCATTATTAACCATTGTTAACACCTGAGTCATACTAGTGATTTAACAAATTGTCAAAGACAAGCAAGCTAGGATAAATATGAAATTCTCATGGGCTCATCATTACCCAAAAAATTGGTAAACTAAACATCAAATACAACAACTTAAATATCCTTAGAGAGGGATATGGAATACATTCTTTACAAAAGCCCTAAATGGACCTTACATGGAAAGGAAGGGTGAGACTCAAACCGGAATGTTGAGCCAGTAAGAAGAGCCTTACACAACTACAACAGCTCCTCTGTTCCACCAGATATTACACACTGATACTAATTACCACATTGTGATGCAGTCACCATATCTTGGATACAAACATATTAGAAAGGATATTGACCTAACTCAACTTAACAAAACCGGCTTGTTAGTGGAGGATCGCCTAAGTGGATCGTGCAAATATCACCCGTTAATGTGAGACTCTAATACGCCACATCACGCACAGCGTGGACCATGCCGAATAATTGTGAACAAATCGATATTGGGTGCACCCAACATTGCAAAACTGGGCCTACTCTGATACCATATTAGAAATGATTTTGGCCCAACTCAACCTAACAAAACCGGCTTGTTAGGGGAGGACTGACTTCACCTTATTATGTGAATCGTGTAAATATCACCGACCAATATGGGACTCTAATAAAACATAAAAGACACGGAAAAGCATGTTGTTGAAGATAACTTCCAAATTAAGGATGAAACATACAAACTGACATGGTGATAGGATCTGTTTGCTATCAGTGACAAACTAGAAAAAAAAGGATGAAGAAGAATAATATTTTTGTGAGACTTTTTCTGTATTATACTCTATTGAATAAAAGAAAGGTTGTAACAGAAATATGCTGAAGTTCAGTACGTAGGACTGAATTCCCAATTACCATTCATCTATATCCCCCTCTAGTCCCTCATTACAATTTATTTATAGCCCTCTTCTTCCCCAACAACTCCTAACAAACACGCATAACAACTATAACAGAAAAAATAGGTGACTCAGCCGGCCTTGCTGCCATTTGGTTGATTCCCATGTGCTTGGTTACGTTTATGGCGCCTGGAGTATGTGTATTTAATTGGGGGTCTATCAAATACCCCTCCCACATGGCTAGATAAGGAAGATTTCAGAGAACTACCAGAATTATGTGTATTTCCATTTATAGGTGTTAGGAATTTGAGGAGGTGATATGGCGTGATATGAAGTATAGATTGCACAAACAATAACAAGTTTAAAAGAAAGCAAACAAGAGATGAAATTGGCAGAGGAACCGAATATTTTATTGACAACCAATGTAGAGAAAATTTACAACTTCTACAACTTAAGGTCTATTAAACTGAATGAAGAGCCTAGTATTTATAGGAGAACCGTCCAAAACCCTATAACATGGAAACTAGGTCAAAAATCGCGTAAAATCAGAAAAATATGGAGAAGTATCTGCGGCCCGTAGTGGGCGTCGGGCTGTCGGCGACAATCGGGCGACAGCTTCTATGCTCCAATTTTGCTCCTCTCGCTTGAGCGTGAGTCGAGCGACCGTCCAGTGCCGTCAATCCTCATTTTTTTCCTTCTTGGACCCTATTTTGACATCTTCAAGCCCAATATACCAAAACGCGAAACCCTAGACCCAATTTGGACCAGATTTGGGTCACAAAACCCAACAATCTCCACTTTGACACAAATCTTGGTGCAACGAACGAAACTCCAAAATTTCTCCATCTAGAAAAATAAGTTCGACTGCAGCGAAACACACTGAACTCTTCAATCTAAACCAAACCTCTCCAACACGAGAAAATATTCTTCCTCTTCCACCATATCCAAACACAGATATAAATGAACCCAACCTCCGAATTTCCAAAATTCACAATGAATTTAAAATTTACTAAACAGAGTCGAAACCTATCTTGCTCGGACTCGGGTGCGGGTGTCGGATATGGGTACATATCCAAGAGTAGGATCCTTCTCATTTTAAAAATAAAGATATGGGGATACGGTTAAAAATGATCCGAATTTTGGATAAGGGTACGAGGACACGTCTTACATTTTTCTTGTAGATTTATAAATTAATATTTTTATCTGTTATGGAGAAAAATATGAACAATTAAGGATGTCTATTTGATAATGATATGTCATGTCACTTTTTAATAATGTATATATGTCTATGGAGACAAATATAAAAACTAATATATTTATTTTATGTAAAGACAAATCCCATCTTATATAAAACCAATTTCAATATATTAAAATATATGTAAAAATGTCTTCTTTTTTTTCCCATATATGTATAAAATAAATATAGTCTACATGTGTACATGTTACGTATTAAACAATTTAGATTGAGATATTCAATAATTCATATAAAAACGGCTTTCAACATTTATACTTCGTCCGTAATATATTTATCGTGAATGCCTTTTAAACTTTCTAGCATATTTAAATCACTCAAAATTGATAAGTTTAACTTGAACTATTGAATCAAACAAATTTGGAATTAAATATTAAATTAATCTTATCTTAAATAAAACAATCTCACATCACTTACAATAAATTATAAAATTTGGTAGAGACAATTCCCAAATTTTGGCAGTATAAATTGTTGATTTTTGAAACAACTTAATCTCCTTAATAATTAACTTATTAAAAATCCCATTTAACACCCACTAAACCTAACTTATTCATTGGGCTTGACAAAAGCCCATTTAACACCCAAATAGAACCTTCCATCTTCTTCGTCTCTCCATCTTCTTCGTCTTCTTTCTGCAGAATATCCGCCGCCAAGCTCCCGTTGGCTGTTTTCTTCTCCTTTATTCCATAATCCTCCTAAATTTCTGCAAAATACTATCACAAGACTCGAATAAATGGGTTTGCTGTCGCCGTCCACTGTTTTCTCCACGCCGTCTTCTCTACTGTCGTGTACGAGTGCACGACCAAGTATCCGACCCATATCCCGTGTCAATATCCGTGTCGTGTCGTGTCGACACGGATACTTCTCCATTTTTGGAGAGTCCGAGCAACAAAGGTCGAAACACGCCTAGTAGCAGAATCACCACTGCTAGACTCGTTGCCTTCAACAACTCCAAAAGAATGCACATTTAGATCAGCATCCCCGTACCTATTTCCAATGGGTCTCTCCCTAGCCGTTGAATACAATGGAACCGCATACTGTGGTGGCAAAGCGGAATTACCCATACTCCCCAAACTCGACAGAGTAGTATTCTTTAAAATAGACCCAGAGCCAACTCCCAACGGTACTGTACCAAACTGTATTTCCACCACGGTACCAAACCTGTGCTGATGTTTCTTCACTGATTCTGCCCGACCTTGCAAGATGTATAATTGAGACTTTCTCCGTCCCTCCATACAACACGGACACCCTTCCGAACCTTCAGGACTCCACCTGCACCAGAGAACGTGTACCCTCTTGAATCTAGGGTACTCAGCAAGATGTTCTTTTTCAAGTGGAACATGTCGAATCTGGCCAGTGTTCTGATTGTTCCATCCACCAACTCCAATCTGACTTTCCCAATACCAACTACCCAACAAGATTCGTTGTTTCCCATAACATCATCTTGCGTCACCATTTCATATGATTCAAACAAATCTCGATTTGGACTTATATGAAAAGATCCCCCTCACTTACAAAGTTCTCTGCGATGTCTGCTTCACCTAATTCTCTGATTGCCTCCCACAATTTGTAGCTGTATTACCCTTACCCTGCAACTTCTCGTAATCCCTCTTGATGTGTCATTTCTTCTTACAGTAAAAGCAGACCCTATTGCTGAAATCCACCCTCGACTTGCCCTTTCGTCGATCATCACAAACCACAAGAGCTTCATCATCTCTGGAACCAGTTCCAACCAGATGCTTCAGCTTCTCCTTTGAGAACAAAACATCATATGCTTCTTCAATGGTGAGTGTGTCACGACTGTACAAAATCGTCTCTAAACGACGAAAATGAACCAGGCAGCGAGCACAACAAGATTAAGGCCAAGTCCTCTTCATCATATTTTACCTCTCACGTCTCCAGATCAGCGATAATCTCCTTAAACACGGCCAGATGATCTTCCAGTGACTGGCCTTCTGCCATGCGATGAGAATAGAGCCTCAGCTTCGGATCCAATTTGCTGGTCAGACTTTTGGTCATGCACAATTGCTCCAGTTTCAACCACAATGCAGTTGATGTCTTCTCCTCCAAGACGCCCTGAAAAATGTTGTTAGATAGATGAAGATGAATCTACGAAAGTGCCTTGCGATCCTTCCGTTGCTTCTCCTATGTTGTCCAAGTTGTGGGCATCTTATCAAATCCCAACAAAGTATCATCCAAATCCATCTGCACCAATATAGCTCTCATCTTCATTTGTCACAAAGAAAATCTTGTACTGCGATCCAATAGCGGAATGTCATACTTCATGGAAGCCATCGATCAAAAAACCTCGAACGAATCAAATCCTTGCTCTGCGGAACTGCTGAACCTTAGCTTTGATACCACTTGTTAGGAATTTGAGGAGGTGATATGGCGCGATATGAAGTATAGATTGCACAAACAATAACAAGTTTAAAAGAAAGCAAACAATAAGATGAAATTGGCATAGGAACCGAATATTTTATTGACAACCAATTGAGAGAAAAATTACAACTTCTGCAACTTAAGGTCTATTAAACTGAATGAAGAGCTTAGTATTTATAGGAGAACCGTCCAAAACCCTAAAACATGGAAACTAGGTCAAAAATCGAGTAAAATATGAAAAATAAGGAAAAGTATCCGCGTTCGCTCGAGCGATAAGCGGGTGACGGGAACGACAGTCGGGCGACAGCTTCTCTGCTCCAATTTTGCTCCTCTCGCTCGAGAGTGAGTCGAGCGACCGTCCAGCGCCGTCAATCCGCCTTTTTTTCCTTCTTGGACCCTATTTTGACATCTTCAAGCCCAATACACCAAAACGCGAAACCCTAAACCCAATTTGGACCGAATTTGGGTCACAAAACCCAACAATAGGTATGTAAACCCTTCGTGGAAACAAATATTGGCAAGTGAATTTTATTTGTAATATTTTGCGTACTTGTCACTCCATAGTCCTCCTATACCTGATTGACTTGAGCAGTAGAGGCCCTATGCCGGACAAAACTACCTAAGACATGTAGTTTTATAGGTATATCACCAGATCTAAGTCACAAAGCAATATCAGGAGATTTACATTAGGAGTGTCGACAGATTTTGACGTCAATACAAGACCATTACTAGGAGGAGACAAAAAAACCATATTTCTTGACCCAGTATTCAACTGCGAGTCATGCAAATTTCTCTTTACCATCATTATTAAGTAAGATGTAAGCAATGTCTCAAACACATACCGCCCAATTATGAGTTTTTGACAATCGTCTTGCAAGGGCATGTATGCAATATGCAACATCAGCTCGAGGCCTGGTAGCTGATATAGCCACAAAGATAGCTGAAAATAAAATTGGTTACAGTCCATCAGGTAACCATTTTGGAGCCAAGAACAATCATATTATAGATAAGTTGAAGACAGCCTTTTGGTGCATATCCTCCACATGACAGCCACGTCACCTTCACAGTTACCCACCTCTTATGTGTTTTTCTTTTGCTGGGCGCTCTACATGATTTGTAGCCCTCACAACCGCAACATCCAATTCCTGCAAAAAGAAGATACCAAATAAAACCAGAGACCAGAGAAACATATGTTTTATACGTACAAACACTTAACAATACCTTGTAGTCACTATTTATTTTAGCCAAACTGACAGTGGTCGTATCCTTGAGAGCTCCAAGTGTTTTTCTTAAACTATTCTGTGTTCCCCCACTCGACATTCTCTTTCTTAGTCACAAATTCTGCGAAAAAGATCTAACGCGTTAGCAATGAAAAAATGCCCATCTCAGTAAATAAATCTCAATTTACTATAACAAACTGATTTGAACAGATCGTAATTTACCAAATGAAACTATATTGAAACTCAATTTACCATATGCATAATAAGTACTTTATGGAAGATACAGATTAAAACAATTGAAATTCATAGATCAACATAAACCTCAACTACATTTATACAACTCCGAATAAGTAACTTGAACAACACAAGAAGTTTAGACTTGGGCGTAATGAACTTGAGATCAAATGATCAATAGCACTTTTTTTGCACTATGTTAAATTGCGTCCAACAAATCTAGCTAATCAGTATACCATGAATCTACTTTACATAATTAACATAAACAGAATCAAGAATCCAACTCTAAAATATAATCACAATAAACTCCCATGTATCCATATCGTGTTCAAGTGTTTTGACATAATCATAATCTCCACTCATAAATAGACTTAAAAAAGGCATCTAAATTTGGTTTTGAATTTCAATAAATAACCTTTAAAAAGCTGATATACCGAAGAACCCACCAGCAATTTTTATTTTTATTTTTTTAAATGTAAAAATGTGAACTCAGTAATATAAATATGAACCCAGAAAAAATTACTCCATAAAAACACCAAAAAGCAAGCTGATCACTGATCCCAAAACGGCCGCCACGATCTGTCAAAAAAATAATCTTTTATTTTTATAACTACATTTATCGACATGCATTAATCATTTTCATCAAATTATCTAAAACAAAATTACCAAGAAACCGAACAAATCTTCAAATAAAGAGATAGAAAAGGAAAAAATTATAAACCTGAAGCTGAAAATTGAAGCTACAGAAGTGGGTTGGGGTGAGTTGTCGGTCTTTGTCTCTGGGTAGAGAAGAAAAGTCTCCAACTAAGCTATGAATTTGTTTTGGTTGGCCGTCGGTGTCATATTTTACCTTATTTTATAATTCTTAATTATGCGTATTCCCATGTACAGCTCTTTATCTCCATATATATATATATATTGTGTATTCATGTATATACACAGTTGCTATATTCTGCCGTCTGCTGCTTTATCTATAAATATTGGGATTTGTTTACAGCTGATGCACATAATGGTCAGTAATATTTCATCATTAATCGGTAAAATGTCAGAATTTACACCTTGACGGCTAAGTGACGAGATCATAAATACTTTTATTACATGCGCCAGGTGGGCTGATGTGTGGGCAAGGCACTGTGTAAAAATTCTTCATCAAAGGGTAATTATCTTTTGGGGGAAATTAAGTCCTTTTTTGACCTTAGAAAATTACTGTTTCATCTTAGTCCTTTTTTCCTCGCTTGTCTCGCGAAATAGGTAACGAATATATTTAAATTCCGTGATGCTAACCAATGAGTGAAAATATAGGCCCTTGAGCCGAATTTATCCTATTCCCTTTATCACTCGAAGTTGAAGATTTGTTTTTGTACTAAGCACACACTGTCATAAAATGATTGTGATAGTGGAGCAAAGCACAAAACCTCTTCTCAGAAGATCGATTTGGATCTTTAATCGCGTATCAAACAATTTGCATTTTTAGTCGTAAACACTAATTTTTCTGCTTCTCAATTTCGCATTCCTTTTGGAACCCTTAATTTTGCCCTAAATCGAAGACATTTCACTTCTTTAAGAATAGAAGAAGACGCTTTATGAAGACGTTAAAAATGAGAGAAATGGATTGTTCAATTGCCTGACCTTTCATGTATAAATTGGTAGGGTTTTAACTGACATGTCGACGAGGTTCAAAATATTAACATAAACGTAGAACCGAGACATTTGTTTTAAGTAAATTTGGTGCCTTGGTGGATGGATTGACGAATATGCTACAAATTCACAAGTTTGGTGACTTTATTGTAAGAAAATAAAGTTCAGTGACCTAATTGATGTTCCACTCAGAGTTGGATTAGATCTCCCATAATTTTTACCTCCTAATTGTTGACGACCGTTAATTTTTTTTATGCGAAACAGTTACCGGATACGGAAATTGTACCAAATGAGCAACAACGGAGTCAAAGTTAAAACAGAGGAAGAACAGCCGTCGGATTTGAATGTTACTACAAAGATCAAACAAAAATGGGATCCATCGGGATGAGTGGATGAGCTGCAAATCACTAGAAGAGTTTGCTTTTGTCTGCATTTAATACACCGTACAACTGGACACGTGGGGTGTTCTGGTAGGATCTAATGGTTTCTTGAAAGTGTAAATATCATATCATTTTACACCATATCTTTTAATAATTACATCACTTTTTAATTACATAAGAATATTATGACCATTACTCATTTTCAAACTTGTATTTTTAACTTCTTTACATTTCACTTTCTTAACCATTTGTTAATTAACAATTTTTGTCAAAACAATTCAATTAAGAGGGAGTAAAAAAATTATGTGTCCCTCATATTTTTAAAATAATAAAAAAACTAAAACTAATATAAAATTATTATTAAATATTTTCCACTCGTTTTAAAGCATGTTAATAGAATTTTTTTTTGGATAAAATCATCATTAAAGACAAAATTTGCTAATTAATAAAAAATTTCGATGAAAAAGTTAGGGACTGACATAAAAGAAGGTTAGAGATCTTTAATACAATAAAAATGTGGTGCATTTACGAATAAATGTGATCTGAATCATAGTTATCAAACTTGATCCGATCATTGACTCGATCAAAGCACCAAATGGACAAGTAATTGATTTAACATACGGATCATCGTTGGATTAATAATAAAATAATTTTTTTGAAAAGAAAAAAAGAGGCATAGATGCAATCTATAAGTTTAAAAATTAAAATTGAACCTTGTTAAAAAATCATTAATGAAAATATTATTAATTCTTAAAATTTTCTCTTTTCTAAAAGATAAATCCAATATCATTTTTAGTTTTTTCATTTTTTATTATCATTTAGAATAGATAGCTATTACATGTATTTGTATGAGGCCTGATTGACTTAGACAAAAATTAAACTTCTAATGAATTTTGAGGAAAGTTGATGAAAATATGATTGAAAAAATGTGGATATCAAGAAATATGTTATTAAAATTAATTATTGACATTGACCTAAATTTTAATAAAAAAACTTAGCTGAACCGATCATTTATTTTTTCATAAAATTTTGTTTATTATATATTAATTTTGGCTATAAAAGATAAAACCAGGTTTCATAACGCTTCAAAATTTTCAATATGTACTGTTTGAACTTTTGAATCTTATGCATTTTAATTAATTTTGGTTTCTAAGATGTACTTGTGAATAATTGAAATTTATTGAATAATTTATAATTTAAGGCTCTGTTTGATTTGACAATTTTTCCATAGAACTTGGAAATGAAATTCCATCTTCCATCAAAAGTCATGTTTGATTGGAAAAATTTTCTTGACAATTCATTTTTCATCTTTTGCCACAGTTCCAATTACATGGCTTTAAGAAAAATCAATTCCCACCAATTTGGTGGGATTTGATTAATGGATGAGAATTGACTTTTCAGACTACTTTTTTTTTTTTTGCAATGAAAACAAATTCTATCCCCCAATTGTAACAAATCATATCCCTTTAATGGACAATTTTCATGTAAAACAAAATCAAACGAACACCAAAAATTTTAAAATTTCAATTTTTCACATGAAAAATTATACTAATCAAACATAATTAATTGACAATTCTTAGAAAAACGATTCTATGCAATTCAATTCCCTGAAATTCATTTTCTTTGCACTCAAATTCCACTATTAAAATCAAACGGACCCTAATTGAATAGCTTCATATAAAACAACAAGTGCTGCCTAGTTGAAACAAGCGCCTTTATTTTTCCTTGAGGTCCTGTGTTAGAGACAATTGACTGTCAATTTTTGTGACATTTGGTATATCATTTTGTAAATTTTCAGAGAGCGGATCGATTAGTTCGAACCAATACATTAATTTGTAGAAAAATCGGTCAGTTTCAGTGCTATAGCACACCGGTCTAGCGGTGGTAAAATGGTTTTATAGGTTTTTTTTTTTTTTTTTTGCAATGAAAACAAATTCTATCCCCAATTGTAACAAATCATATCCTTTTAATGGATAATTTTCATGTAAAACAAAGTCAAGCGAACACCAAAAATTTTAAAATTTCAAATTTTCACGTAAAAAATTATACTAATCAAATATAATTAATTGACAATTCTCAGAAAAACGATTCTATGCAATTAAATTCCCTAAAATTCATTTTCTTTGCACTCAAATTCCACTATTAAAATCAAACGGACCCTAATTGTATAGACTGTAGCTTCATATAAAACAAGTGCTGCCTAGTTGAAACAAGCGCTTTTATTTTTCCTTGAGGTCCTGTGTTAGAGACAAATGACTGTCAATTTTTGTGATATTTGGTATATCATTTAGTAAATTTTCAGAGAGCGGATCGATTAGTTCGAACCAATACATTAATTTGTAGAAAAATTGGTCAGTTTCAGTGCTATAGCACACCGGTCTAGCGGTGGACATCTAGTGATTTGATCAGTTTCAGTGCTATAACACGCATCTAGTGATTTGGTCAATTTCAGTGCCATAACACGACATTCTGTTATTGATGTAATAATTTTTCAAATCTAAAGTGAAAGTTTAGACAAAATTAAAGGGATTTTGCCAGTGGACAGTGGTACATCAAAAGATGTACCTAACGGGTCACACCCCCCTCACATGGGATGTGACACACTTGTATAAAATATTTTTTTTACTTAAGTGGTCTCACCCCCATCATATGGGGGTGTAACCCTTTAGGTACACTCAATTATCTAATAATTCCGAGCTCGTTGACAGATAGGTATATTCATCTCACGAGGCAAATGCAAGATAATTTCTATAGGTATACAACATCATAGGCCCTATTTCACATGGCAAACAAACAGAATAATCAAACCACATAAATTTAGTCACACCCCATTCTACTGCGTAACCTCAAGAAAATTTGTGCAGCACCATAATGTGCCAAAGCCCCCATGATTACAAACACATGGAATATCTGATGACTGTGACCGGCCAGGTCGAACCACCCAGGCTTCCACCGTTCGGGAATCCGGCTAACGTAAAATGACGCCCCTATCAAATACGACAGCGCCATGACCAACTCATAGGCTAGAGTTATATTCCGGTAAGGATCGTTCCAGTTCACAACCACAGCATGGATGGCAGGTACAATGCCAAAGAATCCCATGGACATGAAGAGACAGACTCGAAACGAACGATATTTCCCAGTCGAGAAGGCCGGAGAAAGCAAGGTTATGATAGTGAAAATCCCCATTATTGTTATTCCAGTAAGGTAAACAATTTGCCAGTGGGGAGTACATTGAAAGATGTAGTAAATTGGAGGGAAAAATGAAGTGATTATCATGACAGTTATTCCAACATAATCTATTTGCATAAGCAATATATTTAAGTGATGGGAATGGCAAGAAAAGAGATGGCAAATGCTGCTTGACAAGAGACAGAACATTGAACCATCTAAAAACACATAGAATGGCCAACTTACAGCAGCCATTTCTGGGGATGTAATATCCATATTAAGATGGGATTCTTGCTTTAGATCTTTCAACTTTGTTGGTCCCTGAAAAGATCGAGTGTTAAAAAATTCGTTTCTTTGATCGAGAAACAGGTCGTAAAATGATTTTTGTAGAACTCACCAGGGGAAAATCTTTGGAATTGGAAGAGACATTAGCATCTGCACTAGAAGGAAAGTGTCTGTAGAACAAGAAAATATTTTGTTATCATCACTTGAAAAGCAAGCACAAGATTTAACAACATGATTGTTGAACACGAGTTTTAAGTAAATAAATGTTACGAACTCAAGTCTTATCGCTACTCCATTGTGAAAATTGTGCTCTTGAGAAACTTCAACCAAATAAGTTTGTTTCATCTCTTGTCGTCGAGTTCTTCAACAATGAAGAGCCAAGTTTATAGTATAGGCTACAACCACCATATTTCACAACAAAAGCTTCTTGATTATATTTTCTTCTGGAACATTATTAAGAATGTACCTTATTCATCAATCAATAAAGTCCCTTCAATTCATTTGATTTGTCCAATTTGGCCTCATCCCAGCTTTCAAAAGTTCATTATGTTGAAAGATGTGAATACAAAAGAAGTAAATTTTCTCCATTTTCAACAATTTAAAATTTTAAATGAAGTAGTTCAACATGACATAAGAACAGGAAAATACCATGAGGTCAAGTCGCGAACATCAACATGTAAATTTTATAGTGTCAAACCTTTAATTAAAATAAAATTGGGGCACGAGGAGTGTCCCTATTGATAGCTTGATTATAACTTGCCTTAATTGTAAATTGCCGGCCGTAGGCACGACTTCTACTTCTTATAGGAGAATTTCATGATAAAGCTATTCTAGGTCAGTTAGAACTTCCAAAAAATTATTCAGAAATGTCTAAAATCAATTTCTTAGTTTCAGAAACAGAATTTGACTTTTCAAAAATCCTATCGAACGGCCCTTAAATCTGTGTCTTAGTAATTAAACTTTGGACATTAATAGGAAGTTGGTTCACAGATGGCAGCTATACGTCTCTTTCATTTAATGAGTTGGCTGAACAGATCTATACGACTTCCAAATTAATTTCTCTTTAATGCTAAAAATCATGTCAAAGCGAAGTCGTTTAACTACAAAGCAATATTACCAAATAAAGATATGTAAAATACAGAAAGAGCAAATTTCCAAGACGTCTTTCACTAACTAATAAGTAATAAGTATCTCTTTCGCAAAATTAATAAATTATTTATATTTTTTTTTTTTTACCTAAATTGACACTACAGAAAAAAATAATTTTGTTAATAAATCCCTAATTTAATCTTCATCCTACCTCCAATCCCACACCCCTGGCACCATATTATTTTCTGGGCGCAAATCAAGAAAATGAAGTAAAATTTCTTGAACTTACCCAGTAAAGATTGTAATGAAATCTGCTACTTGAGGCACATGCATCAGATTGCAAATTGTCAATGCTAAAAATAGTACAAATCCAACTAAATGCCTGCACAGAAAAAAGAAAATTAAAAAAAAAAAAAAAAAACTCACTGTAAAAAAGTCATAATTAACACAATTAATCAGAAAAAATATTAAAATAAAACGAAATTCTGAGATAAATACAGTACTTACGTCCATACATTGAGGGTTTCATTATGCCAACGAAATAAGCTTAAGAAAGCCTCTTTGAGAGGCCAATTAACTCTATAATAATTCAAAATGTATTCATTATCCTTCATATAATCGGGCAATTCACGAAATGATAAAAGAGGGTATATTTTCCCTTTGTTTTTGCCCATCTTTTTCTTGCAACCCATCAATGAATCTTGAGAGAAAAAGCCGGTGGTTTGATCCCTTTCTTGATCCATTTTTCCTTTTATTTTCCTCTGCCAAACAGACCCTTCAGCCTTCACTGCTATTCATACTACTGCATGCACAGATTTCTTACAACTCTCAGATGAAGAAGACGAAGACGCAGAAATTAAGGATATATGTAAACATATATGAAATAAAATGACAGGATAAAAAAAAAAAAGAGAAGTTTTATGTGTGTGTTTTTGTCCGAGTAATAAGTGCAGTACAGGCAAATTTTGCAACTGCACCGCCAACAAAATTTAATGGTGATTCCTTTCGCTTGCTTGACTTTCTCATTAATTAGGTTGTACAAATTTGGTTAGGTCATCGATAACTTCCTCACGTCTTCTACATACGGCAAAAATATTATTCAACAACTCATCCATTTTCGACCAAGTTGGATTTTATATATGATTTTATAAATATATGGTACCTCACTTTAACGTTTTGAGTTTAAATGACCTCAAATTTTGATAAAAAAAAGTTTTAAATAACGTTGATTTAAAAAGGTAGAATGTCGTTGTGATAACTACAACAAACGATATAGTTACAAAAAATCAAAAAACAACACTTTGCCTTTTATATGAGTTTTTACCTTTTCAAAAATCGAGGCTATGCGCTTTCAATATTCAAAATTTAGTAAAATCATTTTTTTCAAATCATAACCTGAAATCACATATTTAGTGAGACTTACAATTATTTCTCATTATAAATTATTTTATAAATTTGCCAAACAGAGGTGTTTTTTTTTTTCTTGAGTTTGGTATGAATTCAAATGGGTGCAACTAGTAGAATTTGTCGTCTAGATATAATTGCCCCAAGTATAAAGAAGCTATTTGAGGTCAAGGCATCGAGTGGTTAGAGTGAAACTTTATTTGGCCATTGGCCTGAGTTGGAGCGTTCTTAGGGAAATAAGAGTGAAATTCAAATGAAAGCAAAAAAAATTATAGAGGTTATTTGACTTGAGTCCCAATTTTCTCATTTGCTATTCAGAAGTGGTATTTAGCACAATAACATTAGTTTATGTGACATTGGATCGATCAAGATTCGTTCAATTAATTAAAACACAACTTATTTTCATTATCAATAGCGTTAAATATCATTATACATTTTTCATACGTAGAAATACAGAAATTTCATCATCATACCTCTAAGAGAAAAATCATGAAATCTCGACAAAAAGATACTCTCCATCATCACCACTCAAATTGGAATGAAAATATACAAAATACAAATTTTCTATTTATAGGTACACAATCGAAAGACTTTTGGTTGTTATTCTACGTGGGATTGCATCATGTCACAAGCTAGACAAACAAAAAAACAATTGCTAGTGCATGTAGGATAGAAAGGCGTGTTTGATATGCTATTTTTAAGTCGTTTTGAGTATTTAGTCTTGTAAAATTTTGAAAATGTGTTTGGTCTAAAATTTTTGAAAATGCATTTTAGATAGTAAGGATAAATTTAATGTTTTGAGTATTTTTAGTGAAAATTCTGAAAACACTCAAATATTGAAAACAGACATTTAAATAAAATTTTAAAAAATTTAAATATAAAATTCTAACAATTAAAATAAAAAAAAATAAAATCAATAAATTCCTAGAAATAAAAAAAAATTAAAAATAAAAATTTTAGCAAATAAAATTATAATTTTTTTTTATAAAAAATAGAAATTACAAAAAACAAAAAATAGCTCAAAATCTTAATAATTATTTATAAAAAAATTATAAAAAAATTATTTAAATGGACAAAAATAAAAAAATATTCTCAATTCACATCACTAATTTTTATTTTATTTTCTATATTTTGAACTCAGTTTATTATTTTTATTTACTTTTGTAGTGAGAAAATATTGTAATATACACCAACTTTAAAATGTATATATTATTTGATAACATATTAACATAAAAATATTTTATTTTTACTAAATAATCAAATTTCATAAAATAAAATGTCATAAAATTATTTTGCAAAATTTTAAACTAAACATGTTTTCTAAAGTTCTGTTTTGAAAAATAAATTTTCAAAATGACAAAGTGAACGTGTCTTTAACAATTTTAAAATAGACCATCAAACACAAAGTTGAAAATGAATGCAAAACTCAAAACTAAGAACTGAAATACAAACCAAACATGCCCTAACATTTCCACAAAAAATACCCAGTAACTTCAATTATGCACCTTGAATCTGATTCAATGAAAATTCACCTCGTCTTGCCTTTATTTTCATTTACGATATACTTCAAAATACTTAACCACTAATTATATTTCCCTTACTGTTGTATGATACGTTTGACCTCATTATTTCAATTGCACACTCGTCTATTTTCATTGATCAAATATTTGAATAATAGACTATTGTCGCAAATTTCTTGATTGGGTAATGATAGTTCCAAAATTTGCTAACAATTTGGTAGGTTACGCTAAGCAAATGTAGCCCATCTTTTTCTTTGCTTTGCTTTAAAGAAATATTCTTTTAATGGCAAAACCATCACGCAATTGCTATATGTTCTTCAATTGTCTTTATTTTATTGCTATATTTTAGTTTTGCCCTTAAGAAACTTCAAAACCACCTATAAAACACTGTATTGCCATGGGATGTGAATTCAATTATGAATTTAATGGAAGTTCTAGAAACGAGAAAATAATTATTATAGTCAATTTTAAATTTTTTTAAAAATAACACTTATTATTGTATATAATAAATCTAAAGAAAGCATTTATATTTTGTGTAATTGAAGTCAAGTACAGTATTACATTTAAAACAAAATTTAACCTCAATGTACGCAAATAAATAAATAAATAAATAACGTCTCGATGAAGTCAATGAATATAGGACTCAAAAGACACGTTATGATATGTCACATAAGTTGTTCAATGCAGAAATGATTGAGATAGTTTTATTAAAGCCCTTGCTTGAGTTCTATTTTATAAGAAAATGTATTTTGAAATAGTGATTTTAGAAAAAATGTGTAGTTAAAATATAAGAAAAAGTTTTCGATTTACGTGTATATGAGAATAATAATAATAATAATATTATTATTATTATTTAATTTAAAGCTAGATTGACTTTTTTGTCTTTTTTTGTTTTTTCAAAATGGACGGAATTCATTCGTATAAATACCGCCATTTTTGGAAAGGTTGAGGACGTGTGGTATGAAAACAAAAGTTGAGGAGAGGACAAAAGTAAATGACCTCAAAGTCAGAGGATTTTTGCTTTAATTTACTCCAACCAATTCACCCGTTAAGATATTCCCGAAACCGAAAAAGTCAAAAATAAAGTCATAAGGGTTTTGTGAAATCTTCTAAAATGTTAATGAGGAAAATGGTTGGAGTTGGTTGAATATGTTTCTCTCCAATTATATTAACATATGAGCGAGTCCAAATACAACTCTTCTAGAAATTACCACCTGGTCCATCAATTTAATTTACAGATTTTGAGTCAATCTCGAAAATCTTCACCCGATTCAAATTCTCCACCACAACATGTGTTCACACCCATGTTTGCAAACCTTTATCGGTAGGTGTCGCTGATCATTGATCAATTATCATAGGCATGAACTGATTCAAAGCCTCATTAAACGTTACGGTGATAGTAGTAACACTCAACATCTCACCTCGAACAAGATTGAAACTGGGCATCCATCTGATCATACTTCCTTTCTTACGATTAATCTCCACCACATCTCGTCTCAAACTTTGCCAAGAGAAATTGGTATACCCTTCACAATACTACTTGGATTTTTAATGTTGGTCGTCTCTGATAAAACAATTGAAATCGCATGCATAGCCAAGGTAAATTTCCCAACTAATAATATGGTCTCTAATGTCTCAGAGAAGATAACCAAAGGATGAAAATGGAGCTGGCCAGCATGAGAGAGGGTATTCAAAGTGTATTTTCGTTGATTAATTCGAGCAAGGAGACAAGCCACTTCAGTACCAAGGAAATATTTCTTGTTGCTAGATCTTTGATTTTGAAAGCAATGGCCAAGTGAAACTTGAGAGCAGATATAGTGGAAAGGTCGATCCCAATGACCAATATGTCTTCTACGTAAACAATGACTATTGTGAACAATGTGTTTGTAGGTTAGGTAAAGAGGCTATGATCAACATGAGATTGACGAAAGTCATCCAAAGTGAAAACTTGACACAATTTGGAGTATCACTGGTGAGATGTTTATTTCTAACAATATAATAACTTGTGTAATTAACAAATGCGCACCTCTCATTAGGACAATAACCATGTAGTGGTTGCATATATACTTCTTCGCCGAGGTCACTATGAAGAAATGTATTGTTGACGTCCATTTGGTGTAAAAACTAAATTTTTGTTGTAACTATAGGAAGAAGACAACGAATAGTGACAAGTTTTGCAACTTAGAGCGAAAGTGTCATAATAGTCCAAACCTTCTACTTGAAAGTAACCCTTGGCAACCAAATGAGTTTTATAGCGAGGGATGGATCCGTTTACGTGGAGCTTGGTTTTGTAAACCCATATGCAACTAATGGCCTTCTCTTTAGGAGGGAGAGAGGCAAAGGTTCAAGTCTGGAACATGAGCATTTTTTAAAATAGAGATGAAAAAAGCAAAGTGTTTAGGACTTAAAAAATGGTAAGAAATAAAACTAGGTAGGGAAATGTAATTCATCCTAGAGACCTTTGATGGTGTTGTAGTAGGACCTAACAATCATTGATTCTTGACAAAGATTGACGAAATCGTGCTTGAGGCGATATTGACTTGATTTGTTGCTTTAAGAGGATCGTTGTTATAAGTCGATCCATACGATAGAGATATTTTTGTTGTAGATCAAGCTTTGTAGGAGAAATTTGTTAATTCACATCACCGCTCCCACAATGTAGCAATTGAAGTATAAGTAGGTATTCTGAGGGATCCATCGACGAAAACATGGTCATTTTTCACACAAAGAGTCATTCAGATGGAGCGACTCCATGTAGGGTAATTATCGTTGGTGAGAAGATCTGGGATCAAAATGGCACCAAGGTTGTCAGCTTCAGTCAAGAAGTAGAGTGAAATGAGATCACGAATAAGGGCTAGTATGAGAGTGGCGTTGGTGTCAGCCATGGTGAAGAAAAAAATGGCGCGAAAGTGTTAAGAGATTCCAATGATTAAGACACTCAGATATCATAATGAAAAATGAAAATTGGGCAAACATTCTTGTATGTAACTATGATTTCTCAATGATTGCGTGTTTCCTTACATGAGGATTACTAAATATTTGTAGAACGGAAATATTGATTACAATGAGATGGGGGGCTTGGTACAACTTTGTGTGCTTGTGTAATGTTTTGAATGGTGTAATCATATGTCTTGGCCATTATTCTAAAAGGTGTGCTTAGACGCGATGCGAGGCGGAAACGCCAAACTAGTGACTTGACGTCTTATTTATCGGTCAATGATTATCGTTGATTGCTAATGCGTGCTTAGAAGTGCATTATTATCTTTTTGTTTATTATTATTTTTTAAAAAATATTTTTACAATTATTTTAAGTTAAAATTTAAAGACTGATTTAGAAACTTATCCTTTTGTTGAAAACTTTTGAAAAAATGTATAAAGTTTTTATAAATCCGTTTTAAATGTTTGGTAGGTATTATTTCAATCATTAAATAATTTTTAGATTGATTAAAAATTAAAATAATATTAAAATAAGAAAATGTCTTTTTACGTCTCTGTCTCACCAAGTCCATAGTTTGGCATCCACGCATCGCTAAGCATTACGCCTTTTAAAACACTAGTCTTGAATAAGAAGTGGGAAAGTAAAGTAGGATGAGAACGTAGTGAGAAAATAATGAAGAAGAGATGATTGGGCTGGGCTGGGCTGGGCTGGGCTGGGGCACGGGATATTTTCTTCTTCTTTTTATTATTATTATTATTATTATTATTATTATTATTATTATGTTTTTACATTAAAATAAAAAATAAAGGTTAAGTCCTTTTAATTTTAATGCATTTTAGGGATTGTTTGTTTCAGATTAAAATCGGATTTTAATCTAAGGGTGTGTTTGAACCACATTATTTTGGAAGAATGTATTCTGGAATAATAGATTGATGGAGTATTTGTGGTTGAAAAAGAAGAAAAAGTTATTGATGTGATGAAAAATATTATTTTATTGAAGAATGTATTGTTGAAAATGAGTAGAAAAATGAGAATGAAAATTTTAATGTGTACCAACAGGGCCTAAATCAAGTCAAACAATCAATATAAACCACATTTTTCATGGGTGCTACAACTTTTCGATCACATATTTCAAAAATTCTATCATAATCTATTAAAAATCTAATTTTCATCTCTTCCAAACACCCACTTAATCTTTCTTCTTTTCAAACACATATTTTTCAATAAAATAATATTACATATAAATTCAAAACTTTTCCTTTCTTTTTCATCACACATCCTTAAAAAAAATCATTGTTTCAAAATGTATTTTTTCCTAAAAATTAATTTTAATGTAGACCAAACATGGGCTAGGTGGGTGACATTTTACCCTAATGCAAGACACATGCTCATTTAGAACTTGTCTGGCAAAACTTTTTTGGAAGATTTTAATCAGATTTCCACCCGTTGAGCCGCAATTGTTGATTTCTTGTGAGAGGCTGGACCCCACCTAACGGTCCAAAAACTGATCAAAAGTAGGAAAAAATCGCGGCCAGACAATCTCCTAAACTCAAAATGAATAACATTACTCAGTAAAAAAATAAATTATTGAGAACCTGACAAACTCGCTCTCTATTTGTATTTCATTATGCTTAAATTCAACGAAATTGCAAATTTCAATGTTTCACTTCTTAGATTATTCAAAAAAAAAATTGATTTTATTGACTATTGACATCTATACATACACATATTAATTAAAAATAATAAAAAATGATAAATATTTTTTTAAATGTAAAGTAAAGACATAAAAATAGTGTGAATCTCATAAAATATGTAGTTAAAATTAATTGTTGATTTTACTTAAAATTAAAATTTTAATTTGTATCTAACAGGATAAGTGTCAGTTACATAACTTCTGTGCACCAACATGAACATTGAATGGATAGAGCTGAACATGGGTGATAGGCAAAATATCAGTCGCAGCCTCTTTATCTGTGCACGGTTACAC